GTGGTCCCCGAGTTGAAAGTTGCGGACAAGTTGCTGCGGACACACACACACACAAACACACACACAGACGAACCCGTAACAATATGCGTTTTGTACTGCTGTTACACAGCACAAAACGCATAAAAAATGAAAGAAATAGGGAAACACAAATATCAAAAATAGCTATAAGACTTCTAAAAAATATTAAATTTCTAAAATACGAAAAAAACCACAGACATACCACGTTGCGAACGGCTAAATATGGGTACGGGATGTATTTGTCCTGGTCGAAATGACGCTCCATGGTGTGTCCGAGGTATGCCATGTAGAAGAGGATGCCCAGCACCGTTGGTGTGCCGAACATCACCACCGTGTTGTAGAACTTGTCGTACTTGAATCGATCACGATCGTCCGCTTCCTCATCATATTCTGCAACAATTTTCTCTCCTCAATAACACCAAAAAATGCAAAAACTGGCAATTCATAAATTTTTGGTAAAAAAGGAGGTTCATACCGCTAATTTAGGCTGTTAATGACCCCGCGTAAGCCCTAAAACTTCAGCTTCCTAGACTCCGTGGTTCACGAGATAACAAACTGCCCACGGCGCCGTACATGATACTTACACGGGCAGGAGAAAGCTGAATTTAAATTTTCTGAGTAGCACATAGGTGGGAGACATGCTCACAAAATTTCAGCCTCCTAGCTTCCATAGTTCCCGAGACATTAATTTACCCGTAAAAAATTCTCATGGGGCCATACGTGTTGCCCGCGGGTTCAGGGAAGCTGAATTTAAATTTGCGGGGTCGCACGTGGGTGGGGAACGTTCCCTGAAATTTTCAGCTTCCTAGCTTTTGTGGTTACCGAGTTGAAAGTTGTGGACAAGTTGCTGCGGACACACACACACACACACAAACAAACATACAGACAACCTCGTGACAATATGCGTTTTGTACTGCTGTTACTCAGCATAAAACGCTTAAAAAACCACTAACCAACAGAGGAAGGTGGTTGTTGCTGCTGCTGGTTATAGCGTGCCTGACTTGTGCTCAGCGTCTGTTTCAGTGGATTCCACTCCAGCCGTGCCATACCGGCACGTGAAGCGGCAAGCAATCGATTGAGCAACGCCGACATCAGCTTCTGTGAAAGGGGGAAAAAAGATAAGGGATTTCAGGAAAAGATAACGGAAGATAAAGGATAACGGCTTTTACAGTGACAAGTAACACAAGTAGCGAAATCGCGAAGCAAATAAAGCAAAGAATTCCTCCTTTTCGCTTTTTATTTAACACATACACACACACACATACAGCACACACACATGCACACCGCACACACATGCACACCACACACACACACACATACACGCACGGGCCCGCTAAATTTTTTTTCAGCTAAGTTGATAACTCGGGGATTTGAAAAGCCAAAAGACTGTAATTTTAAGAAAATATTCCCCGTTCACCTTAGTCTCATTGAGCTCAAACCCAACACACACACACACACGCACGCACGCACGCACACACACACACACACACACACACACACACACATACACACACGCACACCACGCACACACACACATACACACACACACACACACACAGACAATATGCACCTTGTATAGCTGTTGCACAGCACAAAACGCACACCAGTCCTCCTCTACGATTCGTTTCGATAGTAAATCGGTACTGGCATATGCCCGGGGAGTCAGACTCGCCATCACAGCTTGCTTTTAAACATTGGCTGGTTCAGGGTAGGGGTCTTTCGCCCTCCCCCTCCTCCCAAAGGGCTTAAGTAGCAGTTGTTTTACTGTACAAAAGTCTGCTCGGTACCTTCTGTCCCTCGTCTCCCGCAGGAGACCATCCTGGATCTCCTGTGCTTTTAAGTAACCCTTAAAAGATGGAGCTATCGATAGCCTTGCCACCACCACTAAATGATTGCTGTTGGCATTTGCTACCACTCGGGCTATTTTCCAGATGTCAGTACCCCCTCAATGAGGTCGAAATACCAAGAGAGAGTTTTGATTTTTGACTTGACCATCTCCCCAAACACATGAGAGAGATAAGATTTTTGATGCACGAGAAGCAACACACGTGATACATGAAGCAAATACTAGAAATGCGCGAAAATATCGCGCTTTATGAAGAGATTGACAGGCAGCAAGATAGACATGTCTAGCACGCGCAACTGTGATAAAAATACGAGAAAAAGTGGGCGAAACATTGATTTTGCCGGCACAATCACGTTATCTCGGAAGCATCACTCAATTACGTGGTTTTCTATAGTGGTTGAGATATGGCCAGTGTGTTAAAGGTAGCAAGAGACTTCACATTTAGTTCAGTTCTAGGTATATTTTGTCGTAACGTCTGTTGACAAGGCTCCAAACAGCTACATTGTTATATGCAAGAAGTGTACTATGCTTTGTTGCACTGTAGCGTGCAGTTGTATATATGTGTATTTATAGCAACAAGATTTCACATTTAGTTCAGTTCTAGGTATGTATATATCTTGTCATAACGTCTGCTGACAAAACTCCAAACAACTACATATTGTTGTATGCAAGAAGTACTATGCTTTGCTGCATTGCACTGTGTAGCTGTATATATTTGTATTTATATATGTAACTGTATTTCTCGTGTACTTTCATTCATATATTGCCCATAGCACGTGTATTTTACATATACTGCCAACGATTTACCACAAATATGTGAAGATTTCTTTAGTCCCAAAATCTTCTTCCTCCCCCTTCCCCTCCTCTCCCCTCCCCCACCCTCCCCCCAAGAAAAATACCAA